AACAGATTTTGAGACTTTTGTGTTCTTTTTTTTTCTATTAGATTTTAAAAGCACATGGARTAATGTTTCCAGCATAGCTAAGAATCATAAAACAGGAGGAATCTGAGGCACTCTGTGGGCAGCCAAGTTGTTATCTGGGTTTTCTGAAGGACCTTACAGAGTCCTGACATGATATTATATTGTGAATATAATCAGTATTGATTGGGGCAATATTATCTGAATATTGCCAGCTCACTGCTATTTTTAAATATTAATTTTGAATATAATTTTTAATATAAATTTTTAATATAATGAAACCTGTTAGAGGTGCCAGTAACCAAAATATTCCCCTCTGAAATCCTTTTCCCATGAAAGCTGCAGGGGACAGAGCTGGCAGTGCACTCACTTCTGGGGACCTTGAGTTCATTACAGAGTGTTCATGTCCTTGTTGTGTTCTTTAACTTCAATTTACATGAAACAATGAAAGATTGCTTCTGTTTATACYGTGCCCTACGTGTAAAGGTAAATTCAGCTGGAATTTGGCAACAATGACAACAGTAGAAGGGTCAATTTTTTTTTTTTTTTGGTGAATTGACATTAGAATGAATCCAAAGGACAGTGGTAACAGAGACTTACTGGGACTCAGGATCGTGAAAAAGAGTGAAATAAAATATTGGAATAATGCATTTTTCACAGATAACTGCTGTTCAAGTAAAAAAGCCCATAGAGAATCATGGATTGGCTTGGGTTGGAAGGGATCTTAAAGATAATCGGGTTCCAACCCTCCCATCATGGGCAAGGAAAATCTAGAATTAATGAAAAAAAAGATGGCAGAATAAGTGTATAATGTACTGATATTCAGTATAATTGCTGTAAAGTGAAGTGTAAATTGTTAATTACTGTCTGTTCACCAGATATACCACAAATAACAGAGCAGATATACAAACATTTGCACATTTTTTGAGGAATATTCTGGCCAGGAGGTGGGACAAGRACAGTTTTCTGTTTTCYCCTCACCATTTTGGRGTGCTGGATTGCCACAGAGTGTTYTAAAGAGAAGCTTTGCACTCCTGTTCCTCTCCTTGGCTCCTTTGTGCTTCTGTTCTTGGGCAGATTTTYGTTTTCTCTCACCTGGAATGCAGGGAGCAGGCTTCCATAAAGCTCATGGGTTGGGRAAAGCACAGGAAATAAACATCCTGTAGAGGAAAAATAGATGGATTAATTACTCAAGTATAACCCATCCTTAAAAAACAATAAATGTCATCTCAATTTTATGCTATTAAAAGATTCTTGTAAGCAATATCCTCAATGTAAGCCACGTTTTAATGAGTCTTTTTGTAGAGGATGGTATAAAACATAGTTTCCTTCTGAAGGACCACATTGTTAAATATATTTTCGATGATCAGACAATTGTGTGTAATTCTGAATTGGTCAGAATAAAGGCCCAATGAATTTATTTACATCTCTATTCTAGGATTGCTAAGCAACCAAGGACAAATGGCTTTTTATGTCTGGCTAGTATATTGTATTGCTTTTAAAAGCTTTTTAAAAGAACATTAGTTCTTTGGCACGGGGACAGATTGATTGTAGGTATAATTCAGCTCCTTTTGGATAATTTCTGATTTTAGCACATGATCTCCACAGGYCAGTGCAGTCACATGGCTGGAACTTGCCCAATTTTATATTCTCACTTTAATTAAACTTCATAACTGCCATCAYTGCCATGATCATGTTGGTGGTGTTCTTCTGTGTTTGTTTCTTTATTTTGATATATTTATTTTTCTAAGCTGCAGTCACAGTGAAGCAGGAGCTAGTACACATTGAAATTGTGCCCTACAGGTTCTTCATCTTCAGGTATTTATAGATTAATACTTATACCAATTAATAATTAATAATTAGATCAATAATTATGAGCACAGACCAATTTAATCCTCAAGCATCTGGTAAGGAGTTATGTTGTGCATGTCTTCATCTTAAAATCTGCTCTTAATTCAACTAAAACCCTGTGACTGGTTTTATCTCAGTTATTGGAAACAACTTTTTAATGTTGATTTTTATCAACAAATACTCAACAGTTCCTACCTTTGAATAGCCAGCAGGCCTGTACACAGATTAAATGGAAGAAATAAATCTTGTTATGCCAAGCCTAGACCCTTGAAAAACAGAATTTCAATATATTTACTTGATGAAGGACATGCAAAAAAATATATCTTAGAGCTTATAATTAAACTTAGATCTCTCATCAATTTGAGGAAGTGAAATAGTATTATASTCATTACATATTATTTTCTCTTGTGGGTTAAAAGTTGCTGAAAGTAATGTCATGGAGAGGAAAAAAGCCTGAGCAATAAAGGCATTATTGAGCTTTTCACCCAAAAATGGTGTAGGCAATTTCTGCATCTGAAAGTGTGAAGACTATTCTGAGAATGTCCAGAAAAATGCAAATATTTCTGGTATTCTTTTGTTGGGAACGTTAAAGCTTTGAAACTTAAGGATTTCCTTTTGCCTGCTTGGTGGTGCCAAAGCAAATGAGGCACAGAATGAGTTCACAGAARGCAGAAATTCATCTCAAATCAAGGTCCTGGTTGCACTGACCAGTGCAGGAGACCTCTCCAGTGCCAAATACTCCTTAGTTCTTCCCAAAGAAGAATCTGCAGACATAAAATAGGTGGCATTCAGCTCCTTGTTGGGGTATCTGGAGAGTTTTTTTGGTTTTAATCAGTTTTCATTATGTGAGGAAATGAAAAAGTTCTGCCAATCCTTTTTGAGATCCTCACTTGTCTTGATTATATCTTTTTTTTTACTCTTATTTCTCATACCTTGAATTGATTGTGGTGTTTGCCTGCCTCCTTGTGATTTTCTTTCTAACTGCAGTCCTGATGTGTTTGATGGTTTTGCCTTTTTTAAAATTTTAAATTATTTTTTGGTTGGTTGGTTTAGTTTGGGATTGGGTTTTTTTGCTGTTGTTTGTTTGTTTGGTTTTTTTTTAATAGGCCATGCTAAGCAATTGAGTTGGATTGCTGTGACTCTAGACATGGCATTTATTTATGTATTTTTTTTATTTATGACTTCACATGTTAAACTGAAATGCTGACAGTCAACTTGAGGATGTCATCATATAAAACTTAATGCTGGGTAAATCAAAATACCTAGAACATAATTAAAAAATGGATGGGTCATGGTTTTCACCACTAAGGGAGCTGGCAACATCTTTAATAAGGGGTAAAAGATGGTGATTTGGGGGAGATGGCTGAGAGTCACTTTTGTGTTAAATTTTACAAAGATCTCAATTACAGGGAAGTTATTGTTGGGTCTGCTGAGCTGGCGGTCCCAGGGGATGGAGACACAAAATAAAATAAACATTAATTAGGCATTTTAATTTCTGCTTCTGCATTTATTTTACATGAACTTACAAGCAGCTGTTTGAAGCAATTTGGAAGGTTAAAAAAACCCCCAAAAAACAGAGAAACAACAGATTCCTGCAGCTGGATGTGTGTGATAACTGAAATCAGTCTGTGCAGGAATTAAAACATCTGTCCCTTCTCATGTGCACTTCCATAGGCAGGCAGAGAGAAAAATTCTGGAGCTGAAGATGCACAGGTTTTTATTTAATTGCAGGGGGTATTTATTTTATTTTATTTTTTTTTTTTTAATTTGGCTGTTTTGAGGCAGGAAATTAGAAGAGGCAGAATGAGCCTTGAGAAAATAGCAAGAAAACAGATGGCACTTTAGGATTCATGAGAACATTTCCATGTACTCCTGCAATCCTATAASACGAGCGTGTTCCCATGCAGCCCACGCACGTTTTCATGATGAAACCCTAAATCACTGAATTCAGTGGTAAAATCTAAATAAAATACCCTCTGCAAGTGACTCAGTATCCTTAAAGGAATGTATCTTAGGAGAATCTTGCCAGTCTGGGTAAAATTAATTCCTTTTCGTACTTAGCAGGGTTTTTATTTTAAATTTGTGCACGGGTTATAAATAAAACTCATATTTTTATTCCTTATTATTCTAACTCATTCATATTCTTACTATTCTAACTTACTCTGAATAGTACCTCACTTCTCTAATACATGATTTTAGAGGTATTTCTTGAGGGGTTAAAGCTTAGTTGACATTATGAAGTGAGACAGAATTGTCT